TTGGGATCGCACATCTCCATTAGCGTATCACATGATGCGCCAGTTACTCCTATAGACCAAAATTAAGTTGGAGATAGCGTTTCTTTGCAGCAATTTTTACCTGCCGGGCATTCACAAGTGTATCCTCCAGCAATATTAACGCATGTGGCTCCGTTATAGCAAATCGCCTCACCCCATTCTGCACATTCATCGATGTCCAGGTCGCAGTGCGATCCCTAAATAAATACGCTTATATAAGTTGAATCGGGTATAGCGTTTGGTTGGTGTAATCTACCGTATAACCATGATCACATGCACATGTGTAGTTGCCAGTCGCTGGATCCCCAATACATCTTCCGTTGAGACAAGGCATATTGACACATGGATCATTATACTGGCAGAAAGAGCCTGAAAAAGAGCGTATAGGGTAACGACTGTTTATTCAACGCAAGAGCCCTACCAGTCCTTCCTAAAGGGCATTCGCACCGATAGGATCCTGTCAGATCAACGCATGTCGCACCAGCTTCACACTTGTTGTATAGGCAGTCATCCTTATTTATACTGCATGTTTCTCCTATATACTAGGTTTTGAGAGAGTATTGAATTGAGCAGTTATTGATATTTACCTTCAAACGCGGCGGTACAAAGGCAGATGAAGCCTCCTTCAGTATTGATGCAGGTGCCTCCATTTTCGCAGGGATTTGAGATTGCGCATTCGTCGACGTCTTTTTCACAGTAAAGTCCTAAAGAGACACAAATTCTTTCACAAAAAGATGGAATTGCAGGCATTAGAAAGTACCTTGATACATGGGAGGGCAAATACATGTGTTGTTGTTTTTCTCTACTAAACAGAATCCACCATTCCTACAAGCGTTTGGACCCGATGGAGTGCATTCAAAACCACTTCGATACACCTGACAATCACTTCCGATGAATCCAGCATCACATTCACATCGGTATGAGCCCATCTGGAACACATAACACATCAACAGCCGTCTGTCGGTCGTGTTTCACCACGTCTGTTTACGATGTCGGCAATTCACTGTGTGTGTATGGTTTTGGTCTTGTAACTTTCTCAGATTGCAAAAAACATGCTGCGCTGCGCAATCAGTCGTAACGAATTGCGCATTTGTCCTCTCTGTCTACTTTCTGCTCTTCATCCGACAACCGCGCTACGTATGTGTGCTGTATGTTACCGAAAGACAAAGCAGCTGCAAGTAGACATAGAGCACTGCGCACGGATGCGCAGGCTGATTTGGCCTCGATGAAAAAATGAGCTTTTTCCATAAAATGAGAATGGGAACATGAGAGACATTGGGGCTTTGTTTGACTTACACTCACCGTGTTCACGCATTTGCCGAATGCGCATGGGGATAAGTCGCATTCGTTTGTATCAAGTTCACAGTTCCTACCATGGTAGCCTCGAGGGCAATCGCAAAAGAATTCAGTGCCATTCCGTCTACATTTACCTTCGTGGTGGCAGTAGTCTGGAGGGCATGGATCTTTTTCAGTGCATGTTGGACCTGAAAGTGGAAATAATGTTCATGTCGATTCTGACTGCCATATTCGAGGCCGCTCCCACCCTGTCTTTTGAACCCACAAGATCCTTTGATGTTCCTACTCACAGTTCATCTGCCGTGCTCGTAAATGAACGTCTATTTCAAAGTCTCATGATAAAAGGTATGTACGAGCACGTAAGAGTTCTGTCTCACTTTCAACCGCCAATGTGCTATTTCGAAGTTTTTGACAAATTGGTGGTCCGCAAGGCCACTTTTGACGGCTGATTGGCAAGAAAAGTGTGGGAATACATTGAGCGCCACGAACGTGAACGTGTTTTCTCCATACATAGACAATCCTACACAAATAGTAAGACTATTAAGATAATCCCCTATAACAGCCATATGCAAGAATAGTTCCAGAGAGTGTGAGCTGTCCTGTCAGCGATGGTGTTTAAAACCGCCAATGGCGCTATCAAATCGCGCCTGCTGTTATAAATAGTGGTCGTTAGCAACTCCTGATGAAGATTTGTGACCTGGATCTGCGTAGCGGATAGCACATAATTAGAAAAACATGACGGAATTTAGTTATCAAATATACACTTAGAAATCTTTTCTTTCTTATCACAACAATTTCTTGATACACAATGTCCAATGGTTCACTTTCTTCTAAAATGTGAGCAACAGTTAGCTAAGTGGCTCACGAAAGATTTTGGCTAATTCAAAGCAACTTATTTTCTCTGCGATATTTTTGGATGTACCTAATACCTTCAAGACCGTCTTGTACAGGAAGATGTATGCTAGATAATAACTTGTCTGAGAACTCAGTATCTTTGGAATAATTATCAAATATT